CTGAGGGCTGGGGCTGGACTGGGGCTGGGAGGTTCTCACCCTGGGACAGGATGGGGCGGGTGGGGTGGGGGGGTGGAGTTGGGAGGATCATGCACAGAGGAGGGGGCTGAGGCTGGGACTGGACTGGGGCTGGACTCGGAGGTTCTCGCACAGGGAAAGGCCAGGGCTGCAGGGCTGTGGGACTCAGCACACAGAAGAACAGAGCGGAGTCTGAGACCCGGGCTGCAGAGATATTCAGAGGAGCTGCTCCTTGCTGCTTATGCACCCAGAGATGCAGGCGCGTCTCCTCCTCATTCGCCCTGTCGGTAAATCCCAGGGAGTCTCCACGAATCAAATACTCCAGGGAATGCAACAGGCGCTGCCGGTACCAAGCGACAGTGGGGGTGGAGGAGATGGACGTGAAGCTGCAAGGTAAGGTGACATTCTCCCCTTCAGACGACATCAGCATGGCAGGAGGCTGGGTCACCGTATCCTTACCCCCTTGCTGGGCTCTGGCCAGTGGGGCTGCAAAAGAGAGAAGGGTGGTACAGAGCTGTTGGCCCTGAGAGCACATCCCTATCCCACTTCCAGTAGCCTTCCCCTCCTGCCCCCCGAATTCCCCTCTCCCTGGCAGGCCGAAATCTCCCAGTCACACTGCTGCTGAAGCACCTGTTTCACATCTGGCAGCTCGAAAAAAGTCTCTTGAAACTTTTTTTTCCTACAGAAAGTGGCTTTTTGACAGAATAAGAGACTTCCCCTGTCCCTCTAACAACCCCTGGCTCTAACACAGTGTTTTTCATGCATCAATCTCAAAAAGCTTGACAAAGAAGGTCATTTTACAGGTGGGGAAATGAGGCCCAGAGAGGCCTTGCCAAAGCTCACCCAGCGGGCAGACTGGGTCCTACACTCCGGCGCTCTCCCCACAGTCACACTGCCCCATTGGGGGGGTTTCTGCCAAAAAAGCACAAACTGAAAATTTTTCACTTTTCATTTTTTCCAGGCATTTTGTTGGTTGATTAGTTTGGGTTTGTTGGGGGGCGGGGGGGTTGTTTGGCTGGGGTTTGGGGGTTGGTTTTTGGCAGGTGGTTGCTTGCTGTTTTACTATATAAACATTTCTAATTGAATCTTTCTTTGCTTTTTAAACAGATTTCTAGGAAAACAAACGACATTTTGGCCCCTGGTTTGACAATTCAGAGATGTAAAGGCCACAAAGGATCACTAGGAACATGGCGATCCCCTGTATAACCCAGGCCAGAGCCTTTCTCCTGGGATTTCTGCACAGAGAGTGAGCTACAGCTGAGCTTTTAGAAAGAGCCCAAGCGATGGAGACGCCAGCAAGTCCCCAAGAAAAGTTGTTCCAATAGCGAATCACCCTCCCTGTTCTAAATTGGCCCTTTATATCCAGCTTGAATTTGTCTAGCTAGCTTCATCTCAGTTGCTAGATCCCATTTGAAATTAAAGAACTGCCATCTGCTTTCACAACTCTTCACCCTCCATAGCTACGTATCGACCATGAGCAGCTCACCTAACAGGAATGATTGGCAGCAATTTCCCCACAAACCCACCTGAGATGCAGAGGGAGAAAACCAGGACACCATCCAAGGAGATCATTGCATTGAAGAGACAGAGAAAGCCCCCAGCTCTCTGCTCTCAGCAGGTTTTCAGCTCTGAACAGCCAGGACTCTCTCCCTTCTCCTACAAAACGCATAGAAGGGCTGGTTTGAAACCTGCCTTTAGTGCCCCCCAGCAGCCTGTCTGAACATTGCACACTGGTCAAACGTGTACCAGGGAGTTACCATAGGAGGTGTTTGTGGCTCAGGTTTGCAAAAGCTTCAGGCACCCAGCTCCCAATTCCCTTAGGCTGTTTGGAGGATCCCAGTCTCTGGATGGAGAAGGGAGAGTATTCGGTGGTGGGTGAGTCACAGCTGGACGACTTCTGGGGACCACACTTCAGATCCCCAGGGGTACCTCCAGTCCTGGTGTTAACACTTCCAACTCCCAGGGGTCTGAAAGCCAGGAGGGACCATTCGCGCTAGTTTGACCTGCTGTCTGACACACGCCAGAGAATTTCATCCACTTGCCCTGAGCCCAATAAATGGTGCTGGATTAAAGTATCTTCCAGGAAGGAGAACAAGAATGTTCAAAGGCATCTGGCCTTGATCGGAAGGCCTCAAGAGCTGGAGAATTCACCCCTCCCCTTGAAAGTTTATTCCTATGGTTAATTGCCCTTGTGTTAGAAATCTGTGCTTAATTCTTGTGTACTTCAACTTCCAGCCCATGGTTCTTGTTCTGACTTTCTCCACTAGCTTGAATGGCCCATTAGCAGCCGATGTTTGCTTCCCATGAAAATACTTCTACAATGTGATGAAGGGTCCTCTCAGTCTCCTTTCCAATACGCCAAACACACTGAGCTCTGTAAGGCTCTCACTGGAATAGCCAGAGTTTTAATTGTGACAGAAAACATTGGTAGGGACATTCAACCTCATGCTCCAGGGCTTGAGCCCCTCTCTGACTACTAGAGGTCAGGAGGAAACATTCACAGGGGGAAATTCACAGGATCTTACACCTTCCTCGGAAGCAGCTGGTGCCAGCCGCTGTCATAGGCATGAGACTGAGCGAGATGATTGCTGGGAGTGGCAGCCCTTCTATTCCTTTGCAAGTAGTCATTAATAACACCACCGTCTCTCTCGCATATAGCGCTTTGGGCGATCTCAAAGCACTGCCCAATCTTTCACATATTGATCCTTCCAGCCCTCTCTCCCCCCGGGAGGAAGGGCAGGGCTGTTTTCCCCTTTGGAGAGATGGGAACTGAGGCCAAGTGCTGGCCCAAGATCACCCGGGAAGTCTATGGCGGAGGAGGGGCCTGAATCCAGTAACCTCTGCACTGTTCCCAGCAGCATGAGATAACTGCTCTCGGCAGTAGGGGAGATCTGAGGAGCCCATTCCCCCACCATACACACACCTGCTCCAGATACTGCACAGCTCAGGAAGCCCCTGGAGTCAGTGTGTCTCTCACAGCACACAGGTAGGAGGCAGCGTCTGAGACCCAGGTCTCCTTGAGGTGAAGGAGGCTGTATTTCCCAGCGGTGCTGAGGAAAGCAGTGAATCGCCCATACTCCTCCTGACCAGCTGCTACCTGGTATGAGACCAGGCCTGGGGCTTTTCCCTCCCACTGCTGGTACCAGGCCAAGCCGTAGAAGTTGGCAGTTTGGTATGTGCAATTGATCTGGAAGGCATCCCCTTCCTTGGCAGTGACCGGCCCCTCCAGCTGGTGCACAGTGGTCTGGGCCATCACACCTGGAACAAAACAACCATTGGGGGTCTCACACAGACAGCCACAGAGAGACTGTGTAAAGCCCCAGGCGAAATGGACAGCGAGTATCTGGTGAGAGTCAGAGACTGTGCAGAGCGGCACCACTCTCACAGACAGGAAAGTCCAGAGGGAAGCCTGGCTAGAGGGAGGGAGCTGTCGTCTGTCTTGCACATGGGGGTGAATCACACCTGGTCCATGGCTACACCTTGGTCATCTCGGGGAGATCAGGAGGCTGGGCTCCCTGTGCCCTCAGAGAGAGCTGTGCTGTGTTCAGCTGAGCCCCAAGCCCAACACGGGACGAGGAGGCTGGCAGGCTTTTGTGAGCAGGAATGCTGAGCTGCCAGCCCAGGGCGCAGGAGTAACCCGCCCTGTCCTGCAGGGCTGCCCCCAGGATGCTGAGGGGAGCCATGTTGTTCTGCGGACGCAACGCTGCCCAGAAGTGCCCACTCTAGGACAACTCCTGCCCGTAGCTGTTGACACGCATGATAAGCTGGGGTGGCTGCTCCTGGCGCTGCCGGTACCAGAACACATCCAGCTGGGAGCGGCCACTGGAGAAGTTACAGCTCAGGGTCATGCTCTGCCTCTCTGTCAGCGTCACCTCCGCAGGCCCTGAGGGCCTGAGCTGGAAGGCAGAAGAATGGCAGGATCAGCTGCACTGGTGCAGGCAATCCCTGCAGGGCTCCCCAAAACCCAGCACTGCATTAAGCTGGGCAGGAGCCTGACCCCGCCAGGTCCCACGAACTGGCCATTCCACTCCCTTTAGCAGCTTTGGAAGTCCTACGCTCCACTGGCTGCTAAAAGCTAATGGCTGATCAGCCAGCAGCAGACTGGGGATAGAGAGATCTTTTCTGGCTTGATCTTCAGTTCTCCTCTGCAAAGGTTCCGGGACCTGTGAAGGAATGGCCAAAAACAAACCAAAGAGAGAGCCCCACCAATCTGCATTTCCCCAGCATTAAAACCAGCCCCCAGCGCTTTCAGTCAGCACGTTCCGTTCCCTGCAGAGACCTGGGAAGACCCGGGAGGAACTTCTTAGGAGAGGGGCAAATAAGTTGGAGGCCAAGTCCATGCTTACCCCAAAAGCCGCTTAGAGCAGCAGCGAGGAGGAGACACCTGAAGTGCATGCTGAAATCTCTCCCTTGCTGTGTGGAGGAGACACAGAAAAGCTGAAAGAGCAGCAAGTCAGGAAGTGACTCAGCCATCAGAGCAAAGAAACCAGAGGTAGAAGGCCCTGTTCATCCAATCCCCTGTCATGGCCTCTCTTCTGGAGACTAACTGGGTATCCCTGCAGCCAGCACCAGACTCAAACTGACCACAGCACGAAGACCATGGGCTGAATGGGTCAGCAAGGATGAGTGAGAGCTGGATAGATGGCTGTGTGTGAGAATGGATGGGGAGGCTGAGGGTTGTGCATTGGGAGAGAGAGAGAAGGTGAGTAAGGTAATAACTTTGATTGGACCAGCTCCTCTTGGTGCCAGAGAAAAGCTTTCGCACTACACAGAGCTCGTCTTCTGGTCAGCATCTCACAGCGAAACAGAAGGTAGAACAGATGGTTTAGCCCCAGTAATTAACATATTCTGAGCCCATGCGAGGTGAAGTAGCCTGTTAACACCCTTGCAGTCATAGGACGAAAAAGAGGGGTTAGTGGGGTTCAGATTGGTGTAACAAGCCATAAAGATGGTGCCTTTATTAAGACCATGATTATTGGTGTGTAACAAAGTCATGAATTTAAGCTCTCTGGCTTGTCTTTTGCAGGTGCTGTGCAGGTTCCTTCGCGGACGAGCCCCGAGAGGTCAGATATGGAGTGATCACTTCGTTACAAGCGTCTGCCCAGGGCAGGCAGGGTGTTTTTATCTTTTGTTCCATGTGAGGGGCTGTGAGAGCGTAGTGAGCATCTGGTTTGAGCCACGTACTTGTTACTGGGGCATTTAGTGCACTGGATGAGGTACATCACATGTTGCAACAGGCGTGTGTCAGACCCATGGATCGTAGCTAGCTAGCTAGAGAGAGAGAGAGAGAGAGAGAGAGAGAGAGAGAGAGAGAGAGTAGTAGTAGGAGGATGGATAGATAGACAGATGATGTGTATGTCACTGGATGGATGGAGCGTGAGAGAAACAAAGCACTCCTCAACTGGTGTAAATTGGAGTCATGATTTGCACCAGTGGCGATCTGGTCCCAATTATGGGACAGTCTTGGCGGGAGGGGGGTTGCCCTTACACATGCTGTAGAAATAAACAGAGGAGTGAGACTCCAGGGCATGTTCCCCAATGCTACAGATGCTCTGTATAGACCTGAGTCATCACTGGAATGATTCTACTACAAACAATTCCCACTGACCGTGAGCTGAAAGCCACTGCAGTCTTGCCCAGAAGCACAGCAACCCCTGCTCAACGCTTAGGGCATGCTGCCCTCATGTGGGCATTTTATGTGGTTCATTCATATCTGAGCCTTAGTCAGGGGGCGGGGCTATCAAGAAGGCCAGGGCTTTATAAAACAGTGAGCAAGCGACCAGGGAGCTGCTAACAGGGAGTTTCGCAAGGGAGTTTGGAAGGGGGGTGGGAAGGGGCGAGGTTCACTTGCTGTTCTTTAAAACCTGTAAACTAAACTACATTCAAAACTTCTTGATTTAAACAAAACCCATTCAGTAACCTAGGCAGCTGTTGGAGACAATGCAGGCAGAAGCCCAGCTGCAGAGTGGGGGCTATCCAGTTTATTGCACTGAGTGCAGCATGTATGATTACCTGCCCCATGGGTGGGTGGCGTATGTGTGCATTCGGTGCAAGGAGCTCCTGGCCCTCAGAGACTGCGTACGGGCTTTGGAGGCCAGGGTGGCGGAACTGGAGGAGCTAAGGGAGGCAGAGAAGTATGTTGATGAGGCTTTTCGGGACACTGTAGAATTGTCCCACCTCCGGTCAGACAGCCCCTACGCTGTTGAGGAGGATGAAAGGCCCAGGGAAGCAGAGCAGTCAACGGGAGCAGAGGGAAACCTTCCCATAGTTGGGACCCTCCTTCCAGACAGTGCTGGGGTTGCCTCTCGCACTGAGGTTACCTCTCCGGGGGAGGGAACTCCAGTTGCTAGGAAAAGGCAGGTATTAGTATTGGGAGATTCGATCATTAGAAACGTAGATAGCTGGGTTTGTGATGACCGGGAGAACCGCATGGTGACTTGCCTGCCTGGTGCGAAGGTTGCGGATCTCTCGAGGCATCTAGACAGACTTATGTGTAGTGCTGGGGAGGAGCCGGTGGTCGTGGTACATGTAGGTACCAATGACATAGGGAAGGGTAGGAGAGACGTCCTGGAGGCCAAATTTAGGCTGCTAGGGAAGAGACTGAAATCCAGGACCTCTATGGTGGTGTGACGGTCCATGCCCCTACGGTTGCGAGCGGCGTGGACTATCCGCCACTGTCCGTCAAATAGCCCTTCAGTCCAGGGCAGTATGGCCTAGCGGTCAGAGTCTATGACGTCCCCTTTACCTCAAGGAGACGTGGCCTGACGGCAGGAGTCTGTAACACAGCCCTCGGCTACAGGGCAGTAGGGCCTAGCGGCCAGAGTCCTGGAAGCAACCCTCGGGTGGAGGGTAGCATAGCCTAGCTGCCAGAGTCCATGTTATTGGGGTGTGACTGCCCCAGTAGGGGGGCCCCGACCTGGGGCCCTAACTGTAGCGTAGTGCTTTTCCACCAACTCAGCGGGGGGATCTGACCGAAACACG